ATGTTTTTCTCTGTAATGCTTTTACCTTAAGAATAATGTACTTGCTTGGAAAAAGCTGCATGGTAATTTAACTGTAACAATTGCACTGTTTACCATCACTGAGGAGAAAAGTAAAGCCTGACTTTGCTGGGAAGGTCACACTACAGGCAGGGAGCTGTGCAGTCTGGAAATATTCTGTTCAGGAGGAAGAGAGACATGACAGCAGCGGCGCTGACAGCCTCAAGTGGGTGCCCTTGCTGGACCACGGAAGCTGAAATATAGATGTAGTTGCCAGAACTGTGACACTTATGGCTTAGTTTGTGGAAGGATCATAGGATTTCATTTCATATTTAAGTTTCCTGTAGGGGTCCCTTTCAGGATTCTATTGTCAAGAAGTGGTGGTTTTTAGTAACAAAATGCATTAGTGGTTCTGTATGTATCACACTGGGAATGATTTTGAAGCAGTCCTGAGGGAGTCATAAGGGATTGTTTTTAGCAAATGATAGTCATAAGGGAGTCCCTTGTGCTATCACTCAAGTGTTTTTAGTGCTCAGTAGCAGAGAATGTAGAGGTAAAAAAAGCATTTTGTGCATCAGATGTGGTACTAGCAGGAGCATAAGTAGCTGTTGGATGTGTTAAGGTAGGTCATCTACCTATTTCTTGTTCACTTATGCTAACTGAATTTGTCAATGTGAAATGAATCTATTAACCTGCAGAACTGCACTTTTCTTCTATACAGCCCTCTGAAAAGAATGCGTATGTGAGGTTACAGCTACTTATTAGAGATGCTTTAGTACATCGGACACCAGTTCTGCTGGATAGAAGATCCACAAGAGGTTTTGAGGGGGAAGTACTGAGTATCTTGAGGAAAGTCAGCAGGAAACATGCTGTTGCTACCAAAACACTAAGCCTCAATGGCACATGCACATTGGTATTTCCCAGTCCCACTGTGTTCCAAAATATTTGGAAGTGCCCAAATATTTGCAAATACATCCCATTGTTTTAAACTGATTGAGTGTGCTCTCTGACACTAGGTTCACACTAAGTGACTGATATTTTACAAGATATGCAGCAATGCTGAGCTGTCTATACCATGAAAGTCACCCTTGTGCAGAGTGCCATCACAAGGCCTAGGCAATATGAAGTCTCACTTAAACGGCACATAAGCCTGGTGATGGCCAGAGGTGAACTCCATCGTGTAGAGGTGGAATGATCCTTTGAATAGTTATCTTCTGTAAAGTTTAAACACAACTAATTGTGGGCGGCGGGAATCAATTTTTTATTATACAGGTCTAGGAGGCAGAATATTATTTAGAAGAGAAGTATCTTGTTTGAGAAGGATGAAACCTTTTTGCAGTCAGTAGAATATAAACATCACACTAAATGCTGAATGCTTCTTTCTGTCCATAGGATGCTTTCTGAAGCAAAATGTAAAGAACAGTTTCCTCCTGAAAAATTTACTGTTTGGTATTCCCTAAGTGACTGTGAAGTCCCCTTTTCACAGGAGATATAGCTCAGAAAAGATTTATGAAATGTAGCAGGGCAACATCAAGGCCGTAAAACCATTAATTTAAAATGACTTTCCCCGTCATTCTGTAGTATAAATTGCTGAGCAATCATGATTTCTTTTTACCGTTTGCTTGCAGTAATATAGTTTGTGTCATTGTAGGATCACAGTTCCTTGACATTAATTATACACAACTAAGATACACTCTTTTTTTTATTTCAACCCCATGAGGGAAAATTGTGTGAAGAGGTACAAGATGCACTGAACAGACTAGCTGTTCTTACCAATTTTCATTTCAGCTGTGCACTTTTTTTAAACCCTGCTTTGAAAGTTTTTTCATTTTCAAAGCTGTAAAGGGGTCACTGCTACATTCAGAGCTGCTTACTGTTGGGTGTCTTAAAATATAGGATGATAATGTAAAAAGAGAGTCCCTCAGGACTGTTTACTTCTGTGTAACCACAGTTAGATGACATGGCAAGGAAGGATAACAATCTGATCTTAACCTAAAACCACAGTAAAAATAAAATAGAACCATATAAGTCAGAGATGGAAAACACCTACAGTATTAGGTCAACAAGTCTGTCTCCTGCCAGTGCAGGATTGCTACATCTGGTATATTCTGCCATGTGAATTTAAACCCCTCTATATTTTTAACTATAATTTCACATTATTATGATTCACCAATATATTAACAGTAGTGTAAAAGGACCACATATTAAACTAAAATAAATGCTAAAAATGTTTTTAGCAATGTACACAGTTATAGGACCAAATTCTGTGCTCAGTTGGATGTATGCAAAACCATCAGCCTTGATTCTGATCTCGCTTGTGCCAGTCGTAAACTGAAGGAACTATATTGACTCCACTGTAACTCCACAACCTACCTGACTCCACCATTTGTGTGAGTGGAAAATCAAACCTTTTCATGTCAGTACGTTTGCATCTGAGCAACTAAAAATGTATGTAACAAAAATGTAAGTAACAACACACAGTCTTCCTAACACTTCCTCTGTGCATAGTGAGTCTGCCAGATAGGGAAAGTTGGTTGCAGTCATCAAAGCAAATATCTTTCCAGACAAAATAAACAAATTAATGGGAATCCGTCTCTTTTGTACATGGATTTTTGTTTAGATTCTTGTGGATAGATATGGTGATATTTTTAAGTAGCATTTCATACACACACTTTTTTCAAATTCGCTTTGCATGGTTTATGGATCCAGAATTTTTTTTTTGCTGTGAAATTTTTGGGGTTCCATAATTTCTGGATCCCGTTTGTAAATTAGATTTTTAATTTCAATTTTTGCTTGAATTTCCTGATTCTTACAATTCTGTACACTTAAAATTTCACACAAAAACATTATGGCAGCAATCTCTGGCAATTCTGACTTGTAGCAAGAAGGCAGGGAAAGGTAACTCAAGATACAGAAAGTCACACATATATTTGTAGTACACCTCTACCCCGATATAACGCTGTCCCCTGGAGCCAAAAAATCTTACTGCATTATAGGTGAAACCGCATTATATCGAACTTGCTTTGATCTGCTGGCATGCGCAGCCCCGCCCCCCCCCGGAGCACTGCTTTACCACGTTATATCTGAATTCGTGTTATATCGGGTCGCGTTATATCGGGGTAGAGGTGTATTTGAAATATTCAGAAACATGCCACAGTCCTGATCCTGCAAAGCACTTAAGCCCATGCATAACTTTAAGTACCGGAGTAGTCTTATGAAGACAGTGTGACAACTCCTGTACTTAATGTTAAATACATGCTTAAGTGCTTTGCTGAATCGGGACCTAGGTCGAGAAAGAACAAAAGTGGCCAAGGAAGTATGCACTGTGTTTCCATTTCCAAAAGAGGAAGCTGGGGGCAGAGGGGGTTGCACAAGCCAGTAGCATTGTGTAACTTTAAACCAGAAGTTTGGACTGTCAGAACAAGGGAAACAAGTTTCAAGCTGACAGATACAATAGTTATTGTTGCTGCTGTTGTAACGGTGTGGCAGCAGATAAGCAGCCCATTTCCTTGCCAGCATACTGCAGTGTACCCAAAGCAGCACTAATGCTTGCAAATTTTACTTTATGGGCTTAATGCACCCCTCCCTATTAGGCACAAGGAAGTGCAATTTACATGCTTGCTTCAGTGGGAGCAAAAGTGGCTAGGAAGAATTCACCCCTGCAGAGATCAGGTGGCAATACTATGCAGGGCAGGGGAGAGTATGATCCCTAGATTGCCAATTCGGATAAAGAGCTAATTTACATGAGGCCTCCAAATCCAACCCCCCCCCTCCCCAAAAAAGCTGTAGGGTCATGTCTCTGGAACAGGCATAAAGCAGCAGCTTTAAAGGTATTAGGCATCCAAAGAGGCAGCTAGGTGCCTAATGGAATTTTCAAACGCATTGAGGAGGTGCCTAAGCACCTTGTTACATCTCTAGATGCATAAATACCTTTAAAAATCTGGCCCAAAGTTCTGCTCTCCCTCTTCCTGCACCTGTCCCAACCTGCCATCCTCAAGAGAAGTCCAAAAGAGGGGGTGGGGAAATGATAGGAAGGAAAAAAAAGATCACCAAGTTTTTGGTGAAAGTACTGTTACTTACAAACACAGCAGCATCTACAATAATTGTGATGGCACAGTAAGACTCTAACCATACTTCAGCCTCCAGAGACTTAAACCTGCTGCCAGAGTATGTACAAGACTCTCTGAGGGCATGACTACATTTCGAGCTGGGGGTGTAATTCCTAGTTCAAGGAGACATACTCACACTAGCTCTCATCAGGCTAGTGCATTATAAAGAGTGTACCCTTAGGGGTGGTGGGAGGAGCTACCCGCCCAGAGTACATGCCTCGCTTCTCAGATGGGTATGTACTCAGGGCAGCTAGTTGCAACTACATTCTATTTTTAGCACACTAGCTCAATCAGAGCTAGCACAGGTATGTCTCCTCAAGCTGGGAATTACACCCCCAGCTTGAAATGTTGACATGCCCTGGGTGTTTCGAATGTGAGTTGGTGTAAAAATTCCAGTTTGTATAACATTATATATTGTATAGGATATAGAGCCTGATTCAAAGCCCACTAAAGGCAATAGAAAGACTCCTTCTGAATGTGGTGGTCTTTTGATCAGGCTCATACAGAATATACTTAAATTCATATTAAGGCACCTATATCAGTGGCTTGATTTTCAGAGGTGCAATATTAAACTAGTGTAGAGGTACTTATATTTTAAGGTACATTGAATCTTAATGTTTGGAATTTTATTTGATTAGAGTGTATTACAATTATTCTCTGCAAGAATATAAAGATAAAACAGTAACTTAGTTTAGTATTAGTAATCAGCTGGGTGAGTATGCTACAATATTGTATCTTATATTGTGCCAATGTGTGTTGTGCTCTTCCATAGGTGAGTTCTTGCTGACAATTCATGCTTATTTATTAGTTCCGTATATGCTTTATGATTCTAGCATACATGATAAAACTATCATTTTCTAGAAGTTTTAAAAAATAGAAAAATTCATCACTTACCGTCTTGAATGCACAAATTCCCACTTTGGACAAAAGTACTTCAAAAACAGTCATACATTTCCTTAAATTCTTCAGTTGTTTAGCTAGTGGGATTTGTTTTCTGTTTTGAGGTATCCAAGTTGCTGCCATGGGGTTGCTTAACTTCCTGTTCATGCTCAGACATTCCAAAATTCAATAACCTGGGGATGTTAGTATCACCGCTGATCAGTGATGGAGGAGGGAGTTTAGTCTGCCTAAAAGAAAAACGTAAGTCAGCTGTTCTTCAACATTGAGTGGATCTATACCTACAGGATACAAAATAAGAATATTAAATAAAACAAACAGAGACCCGCTCAGTATTGAAGAAAAGCTGACTTACCATTTCCTCACAGGTAGACTCATGCTGTAGTGGTGCTAATGATGTCACTAGTCCATTGCATGCTGGGAAGTCCAAAAAGCCCAAGCAACAACTTCAGTAACCTAAAGCAGAAAAAATGCAGAGTAATAAACTGAAGAATTTCATGATTTGGGGGAATTTGGGGTACTAAAATAAATTAATAGATTTCAATATGAGAAAGGACCATTGCGATCTGATCATATAGTCTGACATCCTGCATAGCACAAGCCTTAAAATTGTACCAAGTGATTCCTACATCCGGCCCATTACTTTTGGTTGAACTAGAACATATTTTCTTGGAGAAAACACAACATCTCTTGGTAAAGTTGCTCCAACGGTTAGCTATCTTGACTGTTAAATATGTGTACTTTATTTACAGTTCAGATTTATCAAGCTTCAGCTCCAGCCATTCAATCTTCCTATGCTTTCATCTGAGAGATTAAAGACTCCCTCTACTATCCAATAAATAGGCAGGGCTATATTGAGTGACTGTAAAAGACCATTTCCATTCTCTTTCAAACTAAGATAATTTTGTTACTTGTCAAAATATAGGTTAGAAAGTTCTAAAAATTCAGGGGGTTTCTATATGATTTCCATTTCCTCCCATAAATAATGTAACAACATATAGAAACTGTCTTTATGCAATCAATAGAATATTAAACCAAATTTCCTTCTTTCAAGCGTCTGTTGCCTAGGAGGAAAAACTTAGCACCAGTCTTCTACAGGTAAAATTTGCAAGGCACTGCAGAACAAACCCATGTTTCTGAGTAAAGCAGGATTCATATATATGGAACCGCTTCACCTTCTTCATCCTGCCCTGAAACATTGACAAATAGTAATAAAAAGGTTTATTCCATAAATAAGCCTATTGCTCTGACTGTTAATCCATAGATTTCTTGAGTACAAAAATATGAAACAGTTATTAATGTATAACACTGAAAACTTTTGCTTGGGTGTCAAGACGTGGCATCAAATACAGACTTCAAAAGAAATGCATGCAAATTATAGTCATTAGTGTTTTAATCTTTTGCAACCAAGATGTTGCAAAAGAAAAATCTCATTAATATGTGGGGTAACAGGAAGACACACTGTACATGCTCTTTGTCTCCAAAACAGATTAGTTGTTGAACAGTTTAGGAAAATAGAGCCACGTCTGCATAGTTCTTAGTATAAGCTAAAAATGATTGTATAGAAGTCCTTTCTCAGCCTGTCTGATTTTTCACAAAGAATAAGATTATTTGCTGTTTGTACAATCTGGCTTCATGAATTGGACTTTTAACAGGCTGACTGATTTTAAAGGTGAAATCCTAATTTTTAATCACCTTTGCCAAGGGTATTCAAGTAAAATAAATGCCCAACCCCTGTACCCTTACCTGTCATTGTTCTCAAACATGGCTTTTGAGTAGCAACTCAGTTGTCATGGAGACCGCTGCTGCAAAATGACCCTAAAGCCACCATGGCCAGTTATGTGAGTTTCACCCCAGTAGGGACTTGTCCCATGGCACAAAGCCAATGTAGAGTTCCTAAAAGGGTTTGAATGTTTCCTATGTTAACAACGCATTGCAACAGTATATTTGTTTCCCATGTCCTTTCACAAAGAGGTTATGAATGTCATTAATAGTATCAAGTGTAAAGAATGTCATTAACAGTATCAAGTGTAAAGGGAGACCTCTCTCCATTTTTAAAAATGCCTCACAGGTTCGAGAGGGAGTAACTTTGATTACATATGAGAGAAATCTTCAAGGAAAACATCAAGAGGATATTTTTATTTTGAGCTTTCCCTTGACTCTAGATAAAACAACCAAATTGTTTTTCATCCTTTATTGAATGGGTGAATAGTTGGGAATTGGTGAGCTTTTCCAAGTTAGTCTAAAGGGCATTGTTCCCCAGTGTTAGAGAACAGCACTATGATCTGATCTATTTAATATATTGTAGGGAGTCTAGTTTACTGAACTTCAATTAGTTTAACAGTAATGTAATAATACACAAAGGGCAGAAAGGGTGGCAAACCAAAACAATTCACATAATTATTTCAGATGAAATGGCAAATAGCTTCTGTCAGGCTCTGCCAGCCATTCCTGCTAGAAAAATCAATTCTCATTCCCTTTTATAAGGTAGTTAGATTGAAATTAAAAGCAAATCATTAAACTAGTAAATTCAGCATTCTCCACATTTTAGAATGAATAAAATGTTAAATATTTCTAGGGAGTATGTACTGTACATGGTCAGTTGTGACCGAACTCTTCTGGTCTCTTTTTTGTTCTTTTTACCCTCTCTCTCATGGTAGCATGCATGCATGCAGTCTTTGACTCTACAAGTGGAGAGCAAAGTATCTGCTCCATTGCCCACAGGAGGTGAAGAACATGGCAGTGGCAATTGTTGTCAGGAGAGAGCAGAAAAGATGCTGCTTATCTGCTGCTTCATGCTCTGGCTAGTTGTTGGTTGGTGCACAGACTGAATTCAAACTCTTTATTTTAACATTAAGATTTTAAACGGGTTCCAAGGATCTTGGTTGGCTTCTCATGACTCATCTTCCATTTCTGCCTCTATATTTATAGGGAGTGAGGTTTTTAGTCAGAGGGTTTTGAAGCAGAGAGGTATTGTCTAGTATTCTGGACACATGATTGGGAGGCAAGAACTTTGAGTTGGAATGTTAGCACTGATACTGAACCTATGTGCACTTAAGCAACTTGCCTAAGTACTCTCCCTCGCTATTCCTATCAGTAATCTCAATTATTTGAAACTCTTTGTTATCTGAAACATGGGCATGTTGTCCAATATCTCTGAAAGCATCCAGAATTTTATCATCCATACTTTTTATTCAGTTTCCCATCATTATTTGGATAATCAAGGTCTCATTGCATGTATGTGTTAAGTGATGTTATTGCACAGATAGACTAGGTAATGCTCTTAATTTTGCATTTGCAGGCTCAGGTTTTTATGGAAGATCGCCCTTCTCTAATTGAGAATACCACAGACTGTTTGTTCTAGAAGCAACATGAAACCTGATCTTTCTATGTAGAAGTGTCTACAGAAAGGCCCAAGAATTTAGTGGACAAGAACATAGAAGGATCTGGTCCCATACCTACTGATATTACCAGTGTTGCACTCACTCACTACTTACTTATATAGCACCCATTACAGAAGTATGTGAGCAGCTCACAAACAATAATTAATGTATCTTTACAACACCTGGATTTACTTTCCCCATTTTATAAGTGAGGAACTGAGGCACAAATTGATTAAGGGTCTGATTCAGCTCCTGCTGGACTAAGTGATTTGTCTAACTGAGCTCAGATCTCCTGAGTCCAGTCAGTGTCTTAATCACTCAACCACCAGTCCTCTCCATTGGGGAAGGTCCTGGGAGACCGCTTTGCTTTAAGTTATTGAAGACAGACAGACAGAAATGTGCATACCTCCAAAGAGGAAGCATTTTGGATAGTCTGGCTATTCTGTTACCAATGCCACTGCATATTTTCAGAAGGGACATCATATCCAAAGAGACAATCATGCTAAGGTTGGGGAATATCTGCCAGTTACTTCTAAAAATGAGACTTTAGTCCTTGACACACTGTTCTGTTGGAACTGAGATATTATTCCTTAAAAACCACTCCTGGTCAGAGTGTACTTACAAGTGTAATTGTCAGTTAGTTTTAATGATGTGCCTGCATGTTTTTTGTTGTTTTTTTTTGTTGTTATTGTCCAAGCAGGTATTAAAGATCCAATAAATTGTCAATATTTGCATTAATTGGCATTTATATAACTTTTTTCAGTTAAACACAGATGGTGAGTGCCTGAAGGCTGTTTTGTTTATGTACATATGCCAGCACTGCTGTATAAATCATTGGTCTCAAACACTTGGAAAAATAAAGCAGTGAAAAGTGTCATCTAAATGCAGCACAATTACCTTTACAAGAAACAAGTTCATTTCAATATGACAATCGCAAAGCACAAAAAAGTGTCTTTAATATGTTATCCAACAGCAGTAACTAACTACCCAAATGGAACAAACGACATAAAATAAAAGAGGGTGTCTGGTCCAATTCCTATGAACAAGTAACCACATTTAAAAAACCATGACCCCTTCTGGTAGTAATTGGAAGCCCTACTGGGAGTGTCGGAAGAAAGGTTATTGTTCGGATGAGCCTGGACACTGAATAACATGGGATGTCTTTCTACAAGTTACGCTCTAGCTCAGTCAGAAGCTATGGACTTGATGCAGAGATTACTGTGTGAAATTCCATGGCCTCTATTATGACTCGATCATAACAATCCCATCTGGCCTTAAAATAGATGAACAACCCTCTTAGTTCTAGATAGGGGAAGTGCTGGTGCCTGTGCTGCACCTGTGGCTAACATGGACTTCAGGCTCCAGCAGTGTAAATCCAGCGCCTTTCACCACTGCTAACATTATGTATTTTTTTAAATTATTTTAAAAAGTGAAAATATCAACTAGCTAAAGCAAGACTTGATAAATATAATCATCTGGCTTCGCAAAACCGGTGCCATTATGCTCATCAATTTAAATGACTATATGAAGCAATTAATGTGGCCACCCACAATATTCCAAAGTGGATAACAAAGTTAATCAGTCACGCTAGGTAAAATATGCATGTTACAATCCTCTACATCTCTTTATTACCTGTGCAGCAGCTGACATGAAATAAATTAGCCTTTATACAATAGGACACCATGAATCATTCAGATAGAAGAGCTTATATTGCAAAAGTCTAGACACACATCTTCCCCCCCCCCAAAAAAAATGTGATGTCAGCTGCCTGAGAATTTGCTGTTGAAGTCAGTTACATATTTCCGGTAGGCACCATGGCCCATATGTCTGTCTAGCATAAACACACACACACACACACACACCCGGAAGCAAGTCACCTCTGACAACACCAAATGCTCCTGGCAGCTTGCTAATCTCCCTTTGTCACTTACAGGGATTGTATTTGTTTTTTCCTTCACCTCATTCAAATCCTTCCCTAAAATTATAAGTCTTCTGCTGTTTTGCAGAAGGGGAGGGAAAGGGAGAAATGAAGTGAGGGGAAAGAGCAGTGATAAGAAAACAGTGGAACC